TTTTTCTAATCTGAAAAAATTGTAAAGAAATTGTGGTCTTATGGAGATTTCAAAATTTTATGAATTTCATTTTGATGGAATATTGTAAGAAATGAACTGAAATTGAATTTTTTTAATCACTTTAAAGTCGTGGAGTTTAGTAAATTTTTTTAAGTTAAAAATAAGAAATATATTTTTCGTGAATTTTCAAGACAAATTGTTTCAAATGTCATCCATACAAGTTATAGGCCCGTTCTTTTGTCTTTCCTTTATAGACCACTTTTTTTATCCCTTATTTTAGGAAAAGTGAAGAATGAAGTTCACATTATAGGGTTATCGTTATTACATTTTTCCTTTATTATATATGGATTTTTTACAGAGATATGGCAAGCTTTTTGTAAAAGTAACTGGTAGTCACTGTATTTTTTCACAATGGCATCTTCATTTTAGTTGAAAAATAATAAAAAATGCGAATTTGTAATTAATTTCGTGAAATAAATTTATAATTCAGTTCTTCAATATAAAATAAACGATTTGCGTTATCCATTTTTTAAATAAAGATAAATATATTTTGCTGTTATTGTCATATTATCAATAAAAAAATATTGCAACATGAATTCAGTAAATTTTACGTCAGAAGAATATAGGTAGACGCGTCGACACAGCTGCTGGGACAATGAACTGTCAAACCAATTTTGGAATTGAAAATGTTGAATGAAAAATTATTTGAATTTGTAAAAATTGTTGAAAACGCGAATTATAATAGCCTCCGAATGAAGTAGTATAAGAAAACATATAAAAATCTACTTATATTTGAAAAAAAAAATATTTTTTTTTGACATATCAATGCTCTCAAGCGTTGATGCATCTACCTGTATTCTTCTGCCATGGTCAGAAGATAAAGGGAAGATTATCTGACATTTTGCTTATCGGACAGTTTATACTTAAATGAATCTTCTAATAACGAAAAACGATTTATGTTTCCGACAACATCAATTTTCTATTTATCGGAAAGATGTAATAACCGGCCATAGATTTCTACTGTCTACTGGCCACATACATTCATATGACACATGGTACAAGAATTCAGGTAGTCGCATCGACACATCTGCTGGGACAAAGAATTGTCAAAACAATTTTGAAATGGCAAAAATTTGAAAGAAAAATTATTTAAATTCGTAAAAATTGTTGAAAAATGCACATCATAAAAACCTCCGATTGGCGTCGTATTAGAAAATATATAAAAATCTACTTATTTTTTAAAAGAAAAAACACAAGTAATACATCAGACAGATGTATACTCCCAACCTTGAGTTCAAACTGTTGACCCTTTATGGGGGAGGTTCCGAAGCAGTTGACCATTTCGTATCTGACCTAAGACTAATATAAATATAAAAACCTGTCAGATTTGGACTATATTTGGACCTACACTTTATGTGAGATATGTGCAAATTTCTGGAAAATATGGAAATATGTATGCGTGAGGCAACAGATGTAGCGAACCGAAATATTCCACTTCATCTAATACATATAAAACCCGCAAAGAAAGTCTTAAACCTAATTTAGTAGAGTTGCGCATACAATTAAAAGTTTTTATGGGAGAATTCAATCATATGCTATGTTTACGTTAGAACTTTTTGTAGGGTTAACCTACTTTGAGAGGATTTATTTGAAGTAAAAGTAATGGATATGACAATTTAAATCCAAATCCAGTGGGTTAACCCTCATATATATAAACGTATTTATACAGGCTATGATTACAATTATAAGTTTAAAGGACTAAAAATGTTGAAGCATTTGTATCTTTTAAATTCGGACTTGTATTACCCATTTGGTGCATAATTAATTTGAAATCGGATAAAAATATATATGGGAGCTATATCCAAATCGGAACCGATCTCGATAAAATTTGGCAAGGATATTTCTGAGCTGCATTTGATATATTTCACTGAATATCGTTGTTACGGAGTGCATATTACGGCTGTGGGTAACATATATGACAAATCGGATGAACAGTATATATGGGAGCTATAGCTATATCTGAGCCGATCTTCACCAAATTTGACATACTAGCTTCTAGACTCAATTCGGTCGTAAGTGCCAAATTTCATCCAATTTGGGCGAATATTAGACGTTTGGTGCACAATCGAAGGTAAATCGGACGAAGTTATATATGGGAGCTATATCCAAATCTGAACTGATGTCGATAAAATTTTGCAAATGTATTTCTGAGCTGTATTTGATATATTTCCCTAAATATTGTAGTTGCAGAGTGCATATTACGGCGGCGGTGGACAAAAATAACAAACCGGATGAACAATATATATATGGGAGCTATAGCTATATCTGAGCCGATCTTCACCAAATTTGACATACTAGCTTCTAGACTCAATTCGGTCGTAAGTGCCAAATTTCATCCAATCTGGGCGAATATTAGACATTTGGTGCACAATCGAAGGTAAATCGGACGAAGTTATATATGGGAGCTATATCCAAATCTGAACCGGTCTCGATAAAATTTAGCAAATGTATTTCTGAGCTGTATTTGATATATTTCCCTGAATTTCGTTGTTACTGAGTGCATATTACGGCTGCGGAGGACAAATATGACAAATCGGATGAACAATATATATATGGGAGCTATAGCTATATCTGAACCGATTTCGATCAAATTTGCTATACTTATTTTCAGGTCCAATCTGATCGTACGTGCAAAATTCCATACTATTCGGAATGATATTACACGTTTGGTGCACAATAAAAGGCAAATCGGACGAAGATATATATGGGAGCAATATCTAAATTTTGACCGATTATCTCCAATTTCAATAGGGTTCGTCCTTGGGCCAAACAAATGATTTGTGCAAAATTTCAACTGGATAGGGCAATAAATGCGAACTGTACTTTGTTTACAAAAATACATGGACAGACGGACGGACGGACATGCATAAATCGACTGCCAGAAGGAATGTTCCGATTTCTACCATATTTATAACATATCTTGTGTTTATGGAAATAGTGAGATGTGCCAAGTCTAAATGGAAACGGATGTAAATTTCGTGTTTTATGAGCTTCATGGATATTCAAAATTTTGACCCTTTATGGGGGGAGGTACCAGAAGGAGTGGACCGATGTATCCCATCTTCACACCAGACCTTGGGTTAATAAAAATATTGTGATGCGTGTAATTAGAAGAGAACCGAATGCTTATTTCGGTTTTTATGATCTTTTTGGTTATTCCGAACTTTGACTCTTTGTGGGGGAGGTACCAGAAGGAATGTTCCGATCTCTACCATATTTTTAACAGATCTTGCGTTGATGGAAATATTGAGATATGCCAAGTCTGAATGGAATCGGATGTTAATTTCGCGTTTTATGAGCTTCATGAGTACTCGAACTTTTAACCCATTGTGGGGAAGGCACCAGAAGGAGTGAACCGATTTATCCCATCTTCACACCAGACACCAGGCTAATAAAAATATTGCGGCGTGTGTAGTTTGAAGAGAGCCGAATGCTTATTTCGGTTTTTATGATCTTTTTGGTTATTCCGAACTTTGACTCTTTGTGGGGGAGGTACCAGAAGAGATGGTCCAATCTCTACCATGTTTATACCAGATCTTGTGTTTATGGAAATATTGAGATATGCCAAGTCTGAATGGAATCCGATGTTAATTTCGTGTTTTATGAACTTCATGAATATTCAAAATTATGATCCCTTGTGGGGTAGGTACCTGAAGGAATGGACCGATATATCTCACCTTCGTACCAGACCTTGGGTTAATACAAATATAGTGATGTGTGTAATTTGAAAACAATCGAACTCTTACATCACATTTTATAAGAGTTATAATTATTCGAATTTTTGACCCTTCGTGGGGGAAGTACTTGATGGAGTGCACCGATATTATCCATTTTCGTACTTGACCTAGCACTGATACAGATATTAGGATTTGCAAAGTTTGAGCAAAATCGGATTATCTTTTCTCGTTCTGTGCAGTAAATTATTTTCTTTGAAAATTTTGACGTTTTGTGGGGGAGGTACCAGAAGGCATGGTGCGATCTCTGCCATTTAGATTTGCAAAGTTGAAGCAAAATCGGATTATCGTTTCTCTTTCTGTGCAAAAAAATTTTTTTTTTTAAATTCGACCTTTTGTTGGAGAGGTACCAGAAGGAGTGGACCGATATTGTCCATCTCCGAACTCGATCTAAGTTTGACAAAAATATTACGATGTACTAAGTTTGGACCAAATCGGATACTCCCTTAGAGAGTTATCATGCGCACCAGTCAGACAGATAGAGAGACGGACGGACAAACATCGCTAGATGAACTCTAAATGTTCTGAAACGGATTTAGTCCGAAAGGTCTAAAACCGATGAGGCACATTTTGGCCTATCAAATCTTTGGTCACATGGCTGAGGCTATAAAAAATTTAATATTTTTCCTTTATGCAAAGGTAGGTGATTCTTGGGGGTTCTGGAACAAACCATATATTTTACCAAAACTTGTTAATCGATTACCAAAGTTTGTTATTGTTGTCATAAAACATGTCATTTAATTTTTAATGACAATCAGTCAATCTATGTTTATCACAAACATTTGAAAACTAACAACAGTCGGCACGCGATTGTCATATTCTAACAGAAAAGTGACTAAATTACAGATTTAAATATTTAATGTGAATTTACATGGCAAACCTGCAATTAAAAATTAAGGTTTTTAAAGTGTGTGCAAAAACAGGTAATGAAAGTATTATTAAAACACTCGTTTTGAAATTTTGCCTAAAGTCCGCAGGAGTTCAAAGTTCTATCTTTCATTGGGATCTCGAATTTTCAATTCTTTAAGTGGCTTTCTAGTTCATACCAATAGATAAGATAGCATTTAAAAGTAAACTATAATGATTTATGGCAAGTGATTAGCAGGTTGAACCCCTCTAAAACAAAGCAGCCACTTATAAATTATGAAATAATTAAATGTATTTTTTTTTTAAATTTTTGTCACTTTTTTTTTGATCTCTTTGCAGATAAGCAACTTCTTGTTTTTGATATTTCCGCCAGTACTTATGTATCTCTTCAAAGAATATGGCCGCTTTGTAACCAAAGGTATACATTTACTTTGGGCCCTCCTCATAATTGTCGGCCTTAGCTCAATGTACTTCCATGCTACTTTAAGTTTAATAGGTCAACTGCTGGACGAATTGGCCATTCTGTGGGTGTTTATGGCGGCATATTCGCTGTTCTGTCCAAAAAGATATTTTCCCAGATTTTGCCGTAACAACAGGTATGTATTTATGTCAAATTTTATACTTTTTTAAAAAAGGGATAATTAAAAAAAATTTAAACATATGATTGTACCATGACAAAACAATAGAGGAAAACTCATTTGCTTAATTGAATATGGCAACCCTTTTCAGACTAAATCGACCTTGTCATTTTCACATCTAAAATATGTTCGTATGACGAGTGGCAGATTTTACAAAAATCATAAATCTTTTATTTTTCGCGTTCCTTGGTCCGTAAAAACAGTTAAACGTTCTTGGACTGAAAACAATAAAGATACAAATTTCATCGGACAGTGTTGGCTTGTTTGTTTGGGATACCATTGTATTTTGTTGTTCCAAAATGGTCAGGCTTAATCCCTTTATTGTTGTTTTTATAAAAACAACGTTTCTTTATTAGTGGAGAACGATGGTAATGTTTACCAGGTGATAAGACAGGGAATACCTAGGTTTCGGAAAGAACCTGGTTTTACAACCTAGGTCTCTTTGGACCAAATCCGTTTTAGGACATTTAGAGTCGATCTAGTGATGTTCATCCGTTCGTCTGGCTGGCTGATGCGCACGATAACTCTCGAAGGGAGTATCCGGTTTGATCCAAACTTGGTACATCGTAATATTATTGTCAAACTTAGATCGAGTACGGAGATGGGCAATATCGGTCCACTCCTTCTGGTACCTCCACCACAAAATGTCAACATTTTCAAAGAAAATAATTTTCTGCACAGATTGACAAAGGATAATCCGATTTTGCTCCAACTTCGCAAATCATAATATTTGCATCAGTGCTAGTCCAGGTGCGAAAATGGACAGTATCGGTCCATTCCATGGAGTACTTCCCCTCAAAGAGTCAAAATTTTGAATAATTATAACTCTTATAAAATGTGATGTAAGGGTATGATTTTCTTTAAGTTACACACATCACAATATTTTTTATTAACCCAAGGTCTGGTGTGAAGATGGAATATATCCGTCCACTCCTTCTGGTACCTCACCCTTAAAGGGTCAAAATTTTGAATATTCATGAATCTCATAAAACACGGAATTAACATCCGATTCCATTCAGACTTGGCACATCGCAATATTTCCATCAACACAATATCTGTTATAAAGATGGTGGAGGTCGGACAATTTCTTCTGGTACCTCCCCCACAAAGGGTCAAAGTTTTGAATAATCAAAACGATCATAAAATCCGAAATAAGCATCCGGTTCTCCTTAAATTACACACATCTCAATATTTTTATTCACCCAAGGTCTGGTGTGAAGATGGAATATATCGGTCCACTTCTTCTGGTATCTCCCCCACAAAGGATCAACATTTTGAGTATCCATGAAGTTCGTAAAACGCGAAATTAATAACCGATTCCATTCAGACTAGGCACATCTCAATGTTTCCATCAACACAAGATCTGTTATAAAGATGGTGGAGATCGGAAAATTTCTTCTGGAACCTCTCCCGCATAGAATTCAAGATTTTGAAAAACAAAACGCTCAAAGAAAGCGAAATAAGCATCCATCTCTCTTCAAATTTCACGCATCCAAATATTTTTGCAAACGTAAGATCTGTTGTGAAGATGATATACATCTGTCAGCCCACAAAGGGTCACAATTTTCAATAATTATGTCTGTCATAACTTGCGACATAAGTCGGCGATTCTTTACAACTTGCTATATCTAAATATTTCTCTTAACCAGAAATTGATCGGAATTTAAGATTTCGCTAAAATTGAATATAAATGTTCGACTTCCTTGAAATTTTCCCATACCAATATTTTTATCTGTATTAGATGAAGTATGAAAATGGAAAATTTTTTTTGGTCCGCAATATCTGTTACCTCAGGCATATTTTCACATTGTCCAAAAAATTTGCACATACTTCATATAAAGTATAGGAAGTAGTCGATATAGTCCGAATCTGGCACCTTGTAATATTTATATCAGTCTTAGGTCAGATACGAATTGACCAACTGCTTTGGAACCTCCTCCACAGAGGGTCAACAGTTTGAATAATTATAACTCAAGGCTCGGGGTATACATCTGACGGCAAAACCGACTAATACTATTTGTTTTCGAAAATCGGCAATCGCAGTAAAAATTTTTACATTCTTGAAGTTCTGGAACAGAACACTTGTCTTCAAACTTGTCCTATCTGAAGTAAAATTCAACAATTAGACTAATATACTAGTTTTTTGTTATATATATATATATATATTTTATTTAATATTTGGTTGAAAATAAATGTAAATTTCTTGCCAGCTGTACGTTCATATTTAAGGATGACCTACAAAATATAAATTTTTACAATGAAGTTATCGATAACTAGTCTGGTAGAGAAAGGATTGAGACACACATAAGACAGCTTGTAGTGTTGCCACTTAGCTATAAGACCTTCCACACTGACACTGTCACATGAAAAGGCCACAGGTGTTATAATGCAAATTTTACTCCTCAACCTCGCTCCAAGAAACTAATTATTTTTAAGTGTCTGCAATCATTATCTATTACCAATAAATGTGGCCCCCTTTCAAGTCATGTTTGACATGTTAAATTGCCAGTTAAATTACTGGTCATCTCAGACCCATCACGCCACCATACCCCCATTTTAAATATTATCGCGTCAATCTTCACCATTAAGTGCCTTCCTCAAATGTCCTTAATAAATTATCAAGTGCCAACACATTGCAGTTTTTTCCATCATTCTCTCGGCGGGATATGTCATTATTCTAATGTCTGTCATTATCTTAACTAATTGTCTTTAATTATTTTAATATATTTTATAGACCAGTAATACACACACACATATGTACAAAAATTCCTGTCAAAGGGTATTACAGTGACACGTCCGTCCCACTTTCTTATTGTGTTTGATTTTTGTTCTTGTTCTCCTTTTTTTCCTTTGCAGACGAACATTTGGTTTATTGATGTTTACATGTGCCATTATTGCAACAGTCATGTCGGTATGGAAACCGATTGTCAATGCCTTCGTCCTTATGGCAATGGGTGTTCCAACCATGTATATGTTGTACCGAGAGCTAAGGAGGTAAGTGAAACATTGTTTTTTTTGGACACAACAACAGCAAAATGCCTAAAACATGCAATTTTTTGTAAATCAATTTTTGGAGGGTATGGCAAAATGGGGACAGAGTTTAAAGTTGCGATAAAATTGTACACACAATGTTTACTTATTGGTTTGACAGACCCATGGTAGAAGAATATAGGTAGACTCGTCGACACAGCTGCTGGGACAATGATCTGTCAAACCAATTTTGGAATTGAAAATGTTGAATGAAAAATTATTTAAATTTGTAAAAATTTTTGAAAAACGCGAATTGTAATAGCCTCCGAATGACATAGAATAAGAAAACATATAAAAATCTACTTATATTGGAAAAAACATATAAATTTTTTTGACATATCAATGCTCCCAAGCGTTGATGCATCTACCTGTATACTTCTGTCATGAACAGACCCATGGTTTAATTTTTAGTTTGACAGACCCCATGACTACTTATTAGGTTATTCTATAAGAATAAAACCATTCGCAATGGCAAATTGAACATATGTCGATTTTAACAACAATTTTGACTGTACAGAGAGAGATGAACAAACTGCAGCCAACTTCAGACTGCTGTCATTTCTAAGTCACTCGTCCGTTAAAATTATTACAGTGACAGCTCATAGTATTGTTTACAAGGGTACAAAAGCATTTTGGTGAGAATTTTCCAGAAAAACAAAAGTTATTCGTAATGGAATTCAAGCGTGATACCGTGATTTCTTTATATTTGGCTGGAAAACCACAAGTGGCTATCGTTAGAGCACTCCAGCATTTAAATGTGAATAAATCTTTGGTGTCTCCTAGCATCGCACGTTACCGTGATACTATGGTAGCGTAGCCCGACGTCAAGGAAGTGGACAGAAGAAAACAGCAACATCAGTAGAAATGGTTCGAAAAGTAAAGAAGTGACTTCAAATCGAAATCCGCGCCGCTGTGGCCGAAAATTGGCTCGTGAGCCGGACATATCACAATATTCCATTCGGCAAATATTGGAAAATGAGCTCGGGGTAAAGCCATTGAAATTTCAAAAAGTGCAAGAACTTACACCGCAACAGAAATAAAATAGAGCTAAAGAGTTGCTTCCTTTGGCCGTAAACACACAAAATTATCCTGTTTTCTTGCCAAAGAGGTCATCTGAAAATGTGCACCTACGATTGGCCACCAGAACTCAAGCGCCGGCCATGGTGATGGTGTGGGCCGCCATAACAGCCGATGGTCGCTCACCGCTCGTATTAATCGACTGTGGCATCAGAATAAATGCCGAATATTATCGCGAAAATATTCTGAAGGGTGTATTAAAGTCTTGGGCACGCAAATATTTTGGCCGCAGACCTTGGACATTCCAACAGGACTCAGCACCATCGCACTCAGCACACGCCACCCAAGAATGGTTACAAAATGAGGTCCCTCGCTTCATTTCCAGCGCACAATGGCCACCAAAATCTCCGGATACCCATCCGTTGGACTATTGTGTCTGGAGTTTTTTGGAAAGCGGGGTTGGCACCAAAAAAGTACCAAAGCGTCGATCATTTCAAGCAAGCGCTTCGCCGGGAATGAGCCAAAATACTGCACAGCAACATTCGGGCAGCGTGTGACGGGTTCATTGGCCGTTTGAAGGTCATAAGGGTGGAAATACATAAAGCGCATATTTGGCTGGCTTAAGTCATCGGCTGGCTTCTTCGTAGATGAACAAAGGTGTTTTAGGTTGACTTAGTTCGATTTTGGCCCTAGGATCCTTTGTTCATTTCCGAAGAAGCCAGCCGATGACTTAAGCCAGCCAGATAAGTGCTTTATGTATTCCCACCTTAATTCGTGCCAAAGGTGACCAATTCGAACAAATCTAAACTTATTCTAAAATTTGATGCAATTTCCGACACTTATTGCTTTTATTCAATAAAATTTAAAACAATTGCGTCGAATAACTTCTTTCAAACGTTCAGGCATAGACTTTACCAATGACATTGTGTATCGTAGATCAATCTTGTTCCATTCTTCTTGAAGGATATCTTCTATTTGGTTTTTGTTTAAAATGCTCTTTATGTTCTTGCTCCTTTAGGGTGGGAATACATACAGCGCTTATTTGGCTGGTTTAAGTCATCGGCTGGCATCTTCGTAGAGGAAGAAAGGTGTCTAGGTTGACTTAGTTCGATTTTGGCCCTAGGCTCCAAAATAAGCGCTCTATGTACTCCCACCTTTATGTGTTTTTAACGTGAGAGTATATAAAAAGCATTTTTGGGAGGCTCAAGTCATCATAAAAGAACAAATGAGTTTTAGGTTGACTTAGATCGATTTTGACCCTAGGTTCCTTTGTTCATTTCCAAAGAAGCAAGCAGATGACTTAAGCCAGCCAAATAATTGCCCTATATATTCCCACTTTTAGAAACGGAATGACGAACCTAATATACCCTCCATACTATGTGTGGTAGAGGGCATGGCAGAAGAGTACAGGTAGATGCATCTACGCTTAGGGACCATTGATATGTTAAAAAAATTTAAATGTTTCTTCAAAAATAAATAGAGTTTTATAGGTTTTCCTATACGACGCCAAACGGAGGTTGTCATGATATGCAATTATTAAAAAAATTTACAAATTTAAATGATTTTTCATTCAACATTTTCAATTCCAAAATTGGTTTGACAGTTCATTGTCCCAGCAGCTGTGTTGATTCGTCTTCATTCAATAAAATTTAAAAATAAAATGTAAAAATAATGGCGTTTGCCTTTGTTGCAGTTTTTTTATCTCACCCTGTGTATACTTTGTTATGTCTAAAATTATTATTTCGATGAGTTAGGGTGGGAGTACAAAGAGCGCTTTTTGGCTGGCTTCTACGGAGAGAAGCAAAGGAGTTTTAGGTTAACTTAGTTCGATTTTGGACCTACACTACTTTGTTCTTTTCCAAAGAAGCCAGCCGGTGACTTAAACCAGTCAAATAAATGCTCTATGTATTCCCACCTTTAGAACTACTATGTATGTATAGGGTTAAGAAAATTCAGAGCGGGGTATCCTTATTTGAAATGAACCCAGCTTTACTTTTCAAAATGTTTAAAGTTGCAAAAATAGATAAGTGTCAACACGGCTCGCCTTGAAAAAAACATGGCTCGCCTTGAAAAAAACACGGCTCGCCTTGAAAAAATACGACTCATTCCCAATAAAAAATGGCAAACGTTGCAGATTCTTGCACATAAAAAGCGAAGAGCGCTATATTTGTACAATGATGAGGATTTGGAATATATTCCTTAATATCCAAATAATAATTGGTTGTTTTCGAAAAACAATTGCTATCCATCTTTATTATCGAAAAAATAAACCCAAGCTTCCAATTAATATCATTAACCCCTCATCAATCATTTGTCTTCTGACATTCCCAAATATGGCCCAAAAATGCGGTCACATACCGCATAACCCAAATAATATCCATGTAAGCCACAGGCTGTGATATAAAAATGATTACATTTTAATATCACCCAAAGCAAATAGCACTGGACACCGAAGATTTATAGTTCTATAATAAAAATATGTATGGACAAAATATACACAACTATTATCATAAAACCGACGACCAGAAGTACATAATTACTTTGAGAATATATAACACCCAAATGTGTACTTTGTCATTGTGTTTTTTGAAGTTGGCAACATAATAAAAACACCACCGTTATGTAGATATAAATAGAATTCAATGCGTCGATAACACCCATAATAATAATATATCGAAACTTCAAAGCATTGATGACACAAGACGGCAGGTACTGATTCACACGATATCATAGATAAGCCTAGTCAAAGTACATATGTTTGTTGTTGGCCTTGTCTTTAATAGACCATTAGGCAATAGGTATGCAAAAGTCATCATCCATCCATCAATCACACAAATATGATTAATTAAACATTGTTTGTGAGGCAATGGAAAATTTGTTTTCTTTCAGTTTTTGACAAATGTAGATTAGATATATGTTCTGTGGAATATTGTAGAACAAAAAGGGGGGCTTGACATTAAACAAATCAATAATTTGTTGACATTAACGCGTCACTCACATGAATTGCATCCGTTTTTATTCATTATTCGTGTTTATATCCATTCCAGAGTTATATTTTGTAATATTAGCATGAATCCGAACTTATATTAAGGCTGGAAATACATAAGGAGCATATCTGGCCGGCTTAAGGCTGGAAATACATAAGGAGCATATCTGGCCGGCTTAAGGCTGGAAATACATAAAGCGCTTACCTGCTAGCTTAAGTCATCGGCTGGCTTCTTCGGAAATTAACAAAGGAGCCTAGGGCCAAAATCGAACTAAGTCAACCTAAAACTCCTTTGTTCATCTACGAAGAAGCCAGCCGATGACTTAAGCCAGCCAAATATGCTCTTTATGTATTTCCAGCTTAAGTCATCGGCTGGATTCTTCGTAGATGAACGAAGGAGTTTTAGGTTGACATAGTTCGATTTTGGTTCCTTTGCTCATTTCCGAAGAAGCAAGCCGATGTCTTAAGTCAGCCAAATAAGCGCTTTATGTATTTCCATCCTAAGAGTATGTACAGTGGTCAAAAAAAGTATTCGACATTAAAGGTGGGAATACATAAAGCCATGGTAGAAGAATATAGCTAGAAGCATCGACACAGCTGCTGGGACAATGAACTGTCAAACCAATTTTGGAATTGAAAATGTTGAATGGAAAATTATTTAAAATTGTAAAAATTGTTGAAAAACGCGAATGACGTCGTATAAGAAAACATATAAAAATCCACTTATATTTGAAAAGACATTTACAATTTTTTGACATATTAATGTTCCCAAGCGTTGATACATCTACCTGTATTCTTCTACCATGCATAAAGCGCTTAAGGTAGGAATACATAAAGCGATTATCTGGCTAGCTTAAGTCATCGGCAGGCTTCTTCGGAAATGAACAAAGTAGTCTATGGCCACAATCGAACTAAGTCAACCTAAAACTACTTTTTTCCTCTACGAAGAAGCCAGTCGATGACTTAAGCCAGCCAAATAAGCGCTTTATGTATTCCCACCTTTAGATTTATATTTTTTTTTTTTAATAAAAATAATTAGATTAGAAAATTAATTCAGTACCAAAAAGTAAGTCTTAACAAGTAGTAATTAAAAAAAAAAAACATTATTCACAACTTACGCTGAATGAAAATAGGAAAAAAAGTATTCGATATTTAAAAAAATATTTTAAAATTAAACTCTTAAGGTTAGAATACATAAAACACTCTTTTAACTGACTTAAGTCATCGCCTGGCTTTTTCGGAAAAGAACAAAGAAGCATATAGGGTGAGATAAAAAAATTGCAACAAAGTCAAACGCCATCATTTTTACATCTTTTAAAACATTTTATTGAATGAAAGCAAAAAATGTCGGAAATAGCATCAAATTTTAGAATAAGTTTAGATTTGTTCGAATTGGTCACCTTTGGCACGAATTATGGCCCTCAAACGGACAATGAAATCATTACACGCTGCCCGAATGTTGCTTTGCGGTATTTTGGCCCATTCCCGGCGAAGCGCTTGCTAGAGGTGATTGACACTTTGGTATTTTTTTTTTTGGTGGCAACCTTGCTTTCCAAAAAACTCCAGACATAATAGTCCAACGGATTGGTATCCGAAGATTTTGGTGGCCATTGTGCGCTGGAATTAAAGCAAGGAACCTCATTTTGTAACCATTCTTGGTGGCGCGTGCTGAGTGCGATTGCTATGGTGCTGAGCCCTGTTGGAATGTCCAAAGTCTGCGGACAAAATGTTTGCGTGCCCAATGCTTTAATACACCCTCCAGAATATTAATTTATAATATTCGGCATTTATTCTGATGTCGGGCGGCCCACACCATCACCATTGCCGCCGCTTGAGTTCTGATGGCCAACAGAAGGTGCATATTTTCAGCCAACCTCTTTGGCATGTAAACACGATCATTTTGTTTGTTTACAAACTGCTGGACGACGAATTTTTTCTTATCGGAGACGGAGAAAACCAAATTCGGCATTACACCACTTTCGGCCAAGCGAAGCCTCTCTTTAGCTCTTTTGAGTCTATTTTCTTGCTGCTGCGGTGTAAGTTCTTGCACCTTTTGGAATTTGAAAGGCTTTACCCCGAGCTCATTTTTCAATATTTGGCGAATGGAATATTGCGATATGTCGCTTCTTTACTTTTCGAACCATGTTGCTGTTTTCTTCTGTCCACTTCCTTGACGTCGGTCTATGATACCAGTATCAAGGTAACGAGCGATGGTACGAGACACAGACACAAGATTTATTCACATTTAAATGTTGGAGTGCTCTAACGATAGCCACCTGTGGTTTTCCGTCCAAATATAAAGAAATCACACTATCACGCTTGAATTCCATTACGTATAACCTTTTTTTCAGGGAAAATTCTCTCCAAAATGCTTTTGTACGCTTGTAAACAAAACAATGAACTGTCACTGAAATAATTTCAACAGCTGTCAGACGAGTGGCTTAGAAATGACAGCAGTCTGAAGTTGGTTGCAATTTTTTAATCCCTCCAAGTATGGCCAAAATCGAACTAAATCAACCTAAAACACCTTTATTCCTCTACGAAGAAGCCAGCCGATGATTTAAACCAATCAAAAAAGCTTTTTATGTACTCTCACCTTTATATTCTAGTTACGAGTTGCTTTACATTTACGTCGTATAACTTCTTTCAAACGTTCAGGCATAGACTTTACCAATGACATTGTGTATCCTGGATAAATCCTGTTTCATTCTTCCTTAATAATGTCTTTCATTTGGTTTTTATACCCCCCACCATACATAGTGTGGAGGGTATATTGCGTTCGTCATTCCGTTTCTAACTCATCGAAATAATAATTTTAGACATAACAATGTATATATATTCCCGATCAGCGTAAAATTCTGTTGTAATAACACTCGATTCAAAATGAATAAAGATGGGAAGCTAAAATTTTGCACAGACTAGCCTTTTGTCTGCAGGCAGGTCAAGTTCGAAGGTGATCTATGTCGGTCCACGATATCGTATAGCCCACATAGACGCCGATATTTGATATTTTGACGATTTTAGGGATATCATCCACGGGAGTTTTTTTAAATTTCGTATTTAGAATTCGTAATAGGTACTACAGCCTATGACAAAAAATTGTGTATGCAGGCCAACGTCTTCGTATAGCTTCCATATAACAGTACCTCCCAATATTAGGTATTTTGATGATTTTCGCGACATTATTCACCGGAGTTGTTTCAATTATTTGAGTTGTTTCATTTTATTTGAAGTTCGTAATGGATACTACAGCCTATGACAGAAAATTGGCCACGTCAACTAAGAATCAAACTAAAAAAACTGTAATGTAAACATTCTATAAGAGCAAGTAAAATAAGAGAAACATTTACAAGCAGATTTTGCGAAACAATGAAGCTGCTTTCTAATGCGGCTAATTCAAGAGAATTGTTAAATGTTTTTTTTTTTTTTAAACGAAGTTCCAAAATCACAAAATCTTCTCACTTCCTTTTTTATTTTGATAAAGTACAAATTGTTTGCTTGCTTTGTTTCTTTTTATGGCTGACAAATTGATTTGTTGTGACAAATCAGCTGATTGCTTGATTGTGTCTGTTTTCTCATAACAGTGTTCTTACAAAAGAGAAAACAACTACTTTACTCTCTGAGAAAGTAGTTGTTTGACAATTCCTGCTGGAAAATCAACCACACAAAAAAAAATCTCTTGCATTCTCAATAGGATTGGACTTTCTAATAATGTCGCGTTGAACATGCGTTTTAAGCGGCATCTTCATTGTGTTTCTGCATTTAATTTAATTGTTTTACGAAGAATCGTCATTAACTTGACATATTATTAATTAAATTGACAATCCAAGTAACGTGTTTTATACAAACTAGTTCAGTGTAAATAGGGGTTTACTTTATCCAAAACACTTGTGTAACTCTCAATAAACATAATTTAATTTTCCATTTTTTTTTTTTGTTTTTCAGGGTAAAAGACGAACGTGTCTACCGTCTGGGTCTACGTTCGACTGCTGTCTGGGGTGTTGCCGTTCTGTGCTGGGTCAGTGATCGTTTCTTCTGTTGTCTGAAATTTCCATATTTACATGGATTTTGGCATGTTTTCATCTTTATTGCGGCCTATACCTTGCTGGTGGTCTATGCGTATTTGTTTGTCGAAAATGAGTTGCCACAACGTCAGCCATTACTGCAGTATTGGCCAGTGAATGAATTTGAATTTGGTATACCATTCATTTGTATACGTAATCCGGGCAAAGAGTTCAAGAATACGATTTGAACGTGCCAAGACGAAGAAAAAGAAGACAAAAAAAAGACAACAACAGAACACACATAAACCAAAGGTGATATATTCAGGAATAGTGAAAACATCAATTAATTAACATTGTTAAATAATGGCTAATAGTTTTGTTTTATTTGTTTTTTTTTTTTTTGTTATGTAGTTGCAAATTATAGAATGTATACACAGAGCTCCCCAATATTGGAATATTCAATTTTGAAATGTTTTAATAATGTAAAATGACTTGAGTTGTAAATTGAATCAATTATGCCGTCGTTAAATTGTTTTATATTTTTAAGGGCCAAGACCAAATAGCCAGTAATTCCTTTAGGATTTAATAAAAAAATAAAAATGTTGAATTATAGGGACATAAATTATATAAATGATATTTAGTAATACTGTACACCAATACCAATAACGTAAAGGGTGTTCCACAATGATTAGCTCAAAGAAAAAGGGATCAATGGAGAAAACAATAACAAAGAATTTGAAAACAAAAATCTATTGTTAAAATTCCAATTCAGTTTTTTTCAATGTCATGCCATGTGAATTTGATTTAATTGCTCTTTCAATATTAGTCTCAACATTTTTGGAACACCCTGTATACACTTTTATATAAGACATAACAGTATTAGGTCTTTGTTACAAAAAATATATATATATTATTACAATAGTTCATTATGTGGCCAGACAGCTTTACAAGTGGCCTTGTACTAACAGGGTTCTATAGATACGATTTATAAGGGAAGCTTTATAAACAGAAATTATTTAATTTCACAGAAGAGTAGCATAAAATAATTAAAGAATCAAAAAATACAACACATCATCATAGGGAAAATATACGAATAATAGAAATAAAGACAAATTTAAGCCAAATTATGTTATACAATTGAAATTGAAAATATTAGTTAGTTTTTAAATCCCTGCCACTTCCATAAAACAAAAAAAGACATACAAACCATAATATTATATTTTAATAAAAAAGGTTGTAACAAATAATAACAAAACCAAAAAAAAAAACACATATTTAGCATAATAAAATATACATATTTATTACCTACACATATTTTACTTAATGCTACATACCAATGGAAAACCAATTCTAAACAAATATAAACTATAACATTATTTTAATAAAATAATATTTTCAAAAAAACATATTCTTTAGACTGTCGTTAAACCTTTGCTCTCTTCTCTTAAAATCTAAAGAAAATATCTAAAAACATATACCCATAGTTTTATATTTTAAATCCAAAGGCTAAAGTTATTACTAGTAAATTATACAATGCCATAAAAATACCTATAATAGCTTTAAAAATTTATATTTGAAAAAGAAAGACATGGTATCAATATGCCACAAATAATTCACATTGACTTAAGTAATGTACCAAAAAATCCTTGTTGAATGCTAAAATGAATAAAATAAATAGAAATATTTTAATACCCACTTGAGTTGTTAATAAATTTTATTAATCAAAGCCTAAAACGGATCCAATGTTTATTTTTCGTCGTACCCACATAATAAATCCAGTGGTTTTCAAATGTCAATTCCATTGTTTGACGTTTACACAATGTAATTAATAGTTGAAATCTACTCAATCAATGCTGCAAAGTTTGAAGATTCTTATATAACTAGAAGTCCTTGCTTAAAATTTTTCAATATCTTCTATATAGCACAGGATCTATGTCCGGAAAAACCCGCACTATTATCTTTTTTTTAAATATATACTACAAATAGAAAAGCAAACTTAAAAAAGATCATTACATAGAAAGTAAAACATAATTTTACATATCTGCATAATAATAAATAAACGACTCCCCCCATTTCCTTCACTACGTTCAGGTTCGTTTTTACATTACGGAAATATGAGCGCCATCTACATTTCATTTTCATTTCACTTCAAACAAAGCAGAGACAAATACCCAAAATGTTTTGCATTTAAACACACGGTTGATGCAATCGATAACATTTCAATGGGGCAACACTGAACATAACCATTCGTGGTGATTTGCACAAGCTCAGCTGGCAATTTTGGCAAGACTGAACATACCTCATGCACGTGAAGCCAAACATAAACAAAACAAATCAAAGGCCCAAGGAGTCTTCACTCAGTCTCCCAAGGGAAAATACATTTTTCAAAGGCTCCAAAGACAACAGCAATACAAAATGCTGGCTCCCATAAAACATTTACTAGCCCAGAAACGTATTATTTTGGCCAGCGGCTCACCGAGGAGGCAAGAATTGGTTAAATCTTTGGTAAGAAATGAGCATTTGTTTTCCATAGAATATCCAAACTTAAATTTCATATTCTATTCATTATCAAAACAGGGTCTCAATGCTGAACTGTGTCCATCCACCTTCGTGGAGAATTTGAATCCTGCTGATTTTAAGGACTTCTCCAAATTTATAGAGGCTACTGCATTGGGTAAGGCAGAGGAAGTATACAATCGCCTCAAGAACGGGGATAACCAAGAGGAACTATTGGTAATAGCAGCCGATACAATGGTAACCATGGGATCAGAGATCTATGGTAAACCAAAGGATAGCGACGATGCATTTAGGATGTTAACAAAGTGAGCAAATTAATAATGGAAGTTTAAAAGATTAACTTTTTTAATCCAATAATTTCAGCCTGGCTGGCAATTGTAATCGTGTCTTCACCGGAGTTGTGCTGAAGCATTCCAAAGGTGTGCGATGCTTTACGGAAACTGCCGATGTCTACTTTGGTCAATTGTCAAGGGAACAAATACAGGCATATGTTGATTCCGGAGAGCCATTGTGGGTTTTTGTAAAGATTATTTTAAAATAATAATTAAATATAAAATTGTTTTAAAATTTTCAGTGACAAGGCCGGCGGTTATGGTGTCCAAGGTGTTGGTGGTGCTATGATATCCCGCATTGATGGTGATTATTATTGCGTCATGGGTTTGCCCCTTTATCGTCTGTGCTGTGAACTAAACAAATTGTTACTCGAAGATGTTTAAATGGCTTTAATATATTTAATTATTTTATGTTAATTTTTAGTTTGTTACTGTGTGTTCCTGTGAAATAAAAAAGACCTGAAACTGAAGAGAACTGAATATCACATATAAAGCAGTACTAAATGAAATGAAGGGTTGGCAGATATATACCTTCACAACAGATCTTGCGTTAGCAAAAATATTCGGATGTGTGAAATTTGAAGAGAGTTGGATGCTTATTTCGCTTTTCTTTGGGGGAGATACCACAAGAAATGGTCCGATCTCTACTAACTTTATAATAGATCTTGTACAGATAGAAATATTAACATGTGCCAAGTCTGAATGGAATCGGATGTGAATTTCGCGTTTTTTGACCTTCATGAATATTCGAAATGTTGACTCTTTGTGGGTGAGGTACCAGAAGGAGTGGACCGATATATTCCATCTTCACACCAGACCTTGGGCTAACAAAAATATTGTGATGTGTGTAAGTTGAGGAGAACTGGAAACTTATTTCGGAATTTATAATCCTTTTGGTTACTCAAAACGTTGATCCTTTGTGTCGGAGGTACCAGAAGGAATGGTCCATTATCTACCATTTTTATAACAGATCTTGTGTTTATGAAAATATTCAGATGTGTCAAGTCTGAATGGAATTGGATGTCAATTTCGGGTTTTATCAGCTTTATTAATCTTCGAAATTTTGACTATCTGTGGGGGAGGTACCAGAAGGAGTGAACCGATGTATTCCATCTTCACACCAGATCTTGGGCTAATAAAAATATTGTACTGATATTGCCCATTTTCGAACTCGATCTAAGTTTGACAATAATATTACGATGTACCAAGTTTGAATGAAATCTAATACTCTCTTCGAGAGTTATCGTGCACACCACCCAGCCAGACGGACATCGCTAGATCGACTCCAAATGTCCTGAAACGGATTTGGTCCAAAGAGACCTAGGGTCTAAAACCGTTGTTTCGATGAGGCATGTTTCGGCCGTATCAAATGATATATATGAGGCTATAAAAACGCGATTACGGATTTCGGCCCATTAGAAAGCTTCTTTAAAAATATCTGGGATTTATAAAAGTGACAATATAGCTCTCAATCTTTAACAATTTACTTAAATCCTACGCTCACGACTCTGTTGGAGTGTCCATGTTTTTAGGTGAATATTCTTCATCAGACATTTAAGGAAATCAAAAGTGCCCACATTTGATCCACATCTCCCTGTCTTCTTTACTCAAGGGAAATTCAGGAATACATCTTTACATATTACATATTTTTATTTTAGCAGTAATTCTCGCTTTTCGTTAGCAATTTTCTTACGAATCTCACCCATTCTTTGCTGGTTCCTTCATTTCTTTTCATCTTCTAACAAAGTTTCATCGATTAATTAAATGTTGATTTATCGCTAGAAAACCCTATCGATACTCCCATCAAAAATGTAAAATATCGATATTGCGCCATCGATTATTTGGCAGCTCTAGTATTTTTTCATATGTCAAACCGAAAAGGCAAAACTGTGAGACGAGTGTCTACTTGGCAAATTAAAAGCTCAAAGAAGTGTTAATTCGTGCGCGAAAATCTTTGTGAAATCTAGCGAAATAGCGTTGATATCTCCAGTAGAATTCAGCGGAATCAAGTTTTGCAATTTGGCAAATGACAAATTGAAATTAAAAAGCTGATTATTAATCAAATTTTTTCCTAACGAAGTGCAGTAAGGAAACGAAGCACCTCACACACAAAGCAAAAGTGAGGTTATAAAATACAAACTGCTAACTGCAATCAAAGCAGAAAACCCAAAAAAAGGGAAGAGGAGAAAGAAACAAATCAGGAAGAAAGAATTGTGAATTGTGTGTTGCAAGCAAAGCAAGTGGTGGTGTAGTCTCGCGTCGCAGTCGTCTGTTGATGCAAAAAGAAGAAAAACAACAAAAAAACAGCCCAAACATTTCGTGTGAATTTTTCTTAGCAAATTTACCAGAAATTTTATTGTGTTATAATTGTTGAACTTGTTTCACGGAAATTCTAATTCGTACTTCAAGTCTTCTGATAACTAACAAAAAAAAATTGTTCTGTGTGTCCAAAACTAAACGAAAAAAGAAAAATTATTGTGAAATTTCCTTTGACTCAGTTCGTCGTAGTCGTCGTCGGTCGGTTTGTTGGTGTGTTTGATTGCGTCCAAAAGACTTCTCACAACGCCCATCTCGTTTTAGGTTGGTCTCAAATGTGTATGGCTATTGTGGTAAGTATTTGTTGTTGTTTTATATTTTCTTTTTTTTTTCACTTTTGAATTTAAATTTTTTGCAGTGTTTCTTTTCCACACTGTTTATCGTTCGTTTTGTTGTCGGCACTTTCTTCCAAGTTGTTAGTGTAAGAGCAATGCAAAAAAAACTTTTTTTTTTGGGAAATTACATTTTCTCGTAGGAGTGGTTATTTTGGAGAACAAGAGGGTTACCGGATCTACAGGTGGATTTTTTGAAAATTCAGAAGGTTTTTGAGGACTACTAAACGATTTTGTTGGGCCCACTCACCATCACTTTTGCAAAATTTTCAGATACAATAACTGACGAAATGAATATAAAACGTTTCCACGGTAGTCCGATATGGTATCCTGAAGAACCCGAGTTCACCTCAGCTAATTTCGTTACAGTATGGAAATGGATTTTACCCTAGATTATTCCGATTATTTGTTTCCTCCCTCTTTCGGCAATATTTCTGCAAGGAAACTTGTTTTACGATACCAGGACACCACCATATAGACCTGGATATTTTGAAAAAAAATTATTTGGGCGTTTTTGTGATGGTCAATGACTTGAGTTCTTCTTATTAGGTTTTCTGGCGAGCTTCCATAAAAAGGAGGTCTGTAAGAGACTGAATACCTTCTAGAGGTTTACTAGACACAGGAAATATTGGGATGTTTTCGTCACTCTAAGCTCCTTTGAGGAGCCGTCCCCCAAAAAAAAAATAGTTTCCCGGAATCAGGGTAAAAATACTTACCAAAAAATTGACGAGTTTTTGCTGGACAGAAGACCTTTTGGAAATCTTTTCTCGATATCAATGACTTCTAGAGGCCTTCCAGAAGATCTTATGAAAGTCTTCTTCGAACAGACAGGCCTTTTCTTTGAACTTCTATTGGAGATATTCTAAAGGATTCTGGATATGGATATGAAAGACCTTCGGCGGATCTTTTTCGATCTGAATGACTTCTAGAGGCTTTCATGGAAGTCTTTATAGAAGTCTCCTTCGAACAGAATGCCTTTCGGAGGACTTTTATAAACAGGACATATTCTAAAGCTTTCTAAATATGGATATGGAAGACTTTCTGGGGATTTTTTTCGATCTGAATGACTTCTAGAGACCTTCCAAACGAACTTATGAACAGAAGGCCTTTCGGAGACCTTCTATTGACAGGAGATATTCAAAAGGTTTCTAAATATGGAATCCTTTCTGGACACCTTTTAGACACTGCAAACCTTTAGAAGGTGGTCTTCTAAGAACAGAAGGCATTTTGGAATGGAAATACTTTCTAGAGGTCTTCTATAAAGAGAATATTTGTTCTGATAACATCTTCTATAAATAGAATGTCTTCTGCAGATTTTTAAAACACGATACTTTCAAAGAAGTTAAGGTGTTGCCTTTAGCCACTGTGATCTTGTGTCTAATTGAAGAATGACCACTGACCAGTGCCGAAGAAGACAGTTGGACAGTGAAGAGTAAATGCTCGACCGTTGTTGTTGTTATTGTAGCAGTTGTTATTGTTATTGTAGCAGTAATACAGGTAGATGTTTGATTCTGCTAATCTAGTTAGAGCTACAGGTTTAAAAATTCGGCTACCTTAATGGGCTATAACCTAAGATCTTCTGCAGTGAGTTGGGTAGGTTTGGAAGTGTAATTAATGTTTCCGGGCTGTATCACACGCCGGACAGACGTCACGCACATCTTCGTCAATTCGTGCCAAATATAAATTGAGACGACTGCACCATCCTGAACGTAATTGCACCAAAATTACCCTGATTTTTCTAGGCAGCTGACGTTCTTCAGACGACGGGTGGTCTCCGAGAATGGCAACCATCCTGTAATTGCTGATGGCATCTGTGATTGGCATCGGTATGAATGCCACTCAGACCTGCCTGATAGTCTTCTTGATCTAGAGGTTCTCTACTGAGATAGCGATGGACCTCCCTCTATAGATAATGTATGTCCTTCCTGACACGCCTGGATGGGGGAGTTATATCCACCATATGATGGTTGGGATGACTTCCACGATAACACCCAAGCAGGTACTGGAACGAAAACATATGATTATGCTGACGTAAGCCAATGGCTTTCGCCTCCTTATGTAGACGGTCTACCAGTGTCATGAAGAGGCACCCAGGTCAGCATTCTGGCAAGTCTAAAAGTTTTCCCACTGCTTCTACTGGGGTCGCATAGCTGAACACAGACCGACCTATCTCGTTACAAAAAGTCTCAGCCATTTGTGACAAAAAGTAAAGAAGAAACAAAGACCTCAAGGCGATCTCAAAAAATCGAAACTAATATCCGACTCCATTCAGACTTGGCAAATCTATATATTTCTATCAACAAAAGATCTGTTATGAAGATGGTAGAGTTCGGACCATGCCTTCTAGTACCTTCCCCACAAAGGTTCAAAGTTTTGAATAACCGGAACGATTATACAATTCGAAATAAGCATCCGGTTCTATTCATATTTCACACATCCAATTATTTCAACTAACACAAGATCTGCTGTGAAGATGGGATATGTCGGTCTTCTTCTTCTAGTACCTCCCCCACAAAGGGCCAACATTTTGAATATTCGTGAAGCTCATAATACTCGAAATTAACATCCGATTCCATTGAGACCTGAAAAATCTCAATATATCTATCAATACATGATCTGTTATAAAGATTGTAGAGTTCGGACCATTTCTTTTGGTACGTCTCCCACATAGAAGTCATGGCCTATATGTTACAGTGACCTGTTAGAATTCTCGCCACAAGTTTTAGGTCTGATTTTGCCATGGGGATGAGCGACCTTGATCTCTTACCAGAGAGTGCCGGCCAAATTTTCTTAGAGATATTACATGCCCTTTCATTTGACCAGATTTGTTGA